GTCGTAGCTGCTTCCACTGTTATCCTTAGTGGGACCAGAATCTCAAGCCCTATCCCTCCTGGAGCCTCACTAAAGCTTCCCTCCATGCCTGAAGCAAGCGGGTAGAGAACAGCAAACAGTCAGTGAGGGCCCTTCTGACTTTGGTGTCGAAGTACGCAGCAGGGAATGCACTTGAACCCTCCACTTTTTCTTGACTCTCATTAGCCCCAATACTGACCGGTGGAGTTTGACCTGAACTCAGAGCCAGTTTATGCTGGTGGTCAGCACCTACCCTGGGTGATTCCAGGGAAAACTATGAACCAAATCTCCTACCTCCAAACACACACAATACTTAATAATTGTGTGCACTTTTGTGTATGATTACTACTGCCTGAAATGTTGCCGAGAGCGTCTTATCCTTGGATTCAAAATATTTGATCCCAACAGAAAAGCCACTTGTAAGCTGCCAGCTACCTGCATTTTCAGGGAAACTTCCTCGTATGTCTTTCCCCGCCCCCTACCAAACTAAGGAATTTGAAGACAAGGACCATAGTCTCCTTTTCAGTATTTTATCCAGAGTGGGAGTGGGTGTCCAATACCTATTTGTTGTCTTATTGATTTATACTATGGTGTAAACGGCAGAGCTGGTTTTCATCACCAGGACAGACAGCATAGTACTGGAGAGGGTGGGGGACTGGGGGCCCAGTGAACAAACTTTGCTGACTTCACATTATTGGAAAATGCCCTACCTATTATGAACTATCAGTGATGGTCAGTACTAAAAGCAAAAGAGAAGCTTCATTAGTTAAAAATTAAAAGTTGGTGTGGAACAGAACTGGAGAAAATACAAAAAAAGCAAATACTACTGGATTGATTTCCTGAGAAGTAGAAAATCTTGAGATAATTAATGACAGCAAATATTTTTAGACATATTGGGCTGAAATCCTGGAGCACTAAGATGATCTGATTGGTTTCTTCTATTTGTAAACACTTTATACAATAGATTCCTAGAAAGTTGAGGATCACTGGATGTGTGTATGTGCACATGCAGAAACTGATAGGTTTACATTAAAAATGAATCAAACAGTTTTAGTCTCATGGTTTTCACCCCTAGTGAAAATGCTACCTAACTCAAAATAGGAATCAGTCTAATAAATGTTTGAATGTCTCCTCCAACAGGGGTTCTCTCCTTCACAAAGCAATCTGCTCCCCTGGGGAGCAGCCCTTGCACTGGTTTTGTTTACTGATGTCCACATACAAGTGAAGTTTTCCTAAGCGAAATATAGGGAGAGCATGAAGCAATGGATTCATACTTCCCAAAGTTTACAGACACTAAGATCAGCACCAACTCTACTTTTTTTGTCTTTTTTGCAAAAAGCAATTAGAACCACTCCTGGTGCAACCTGAAGTCTTTTATAATCTAGAAAAGCAAGTCTCCTTCCTGTAAGGTTCAGTGCTTGGGGTGGGGGTTGGGGGCACTGTCATCCTTTGGAACTCATCTTCTCTGTCTAGAGGCAATCTGGGCCTGGAGGGACTCTTTTGCCAACGATAGGAGAATATACAGTTAATTGAAAGTAATGAACCAGAGTTCTGATTCTTACCAGTGCTAACTTTCTTTGTGGCTAGAGATCACTTAATCTCTCTGGGCCTCAGTTTCCTAATCCAGAAAGGGAAACATTTGACTAGATGATTTCCGTAGCCCTTATAAAATAATTCTAAGCTCCCAGCAGCAGCAGTGAAAAACCCTGCAGCCATGTCATTTTTCCGAGCTTCATAGAAGCTGTGTGAATTAAATGGTAAATACCTGAACCTATAATGTGTTACATCAATTCCTCATCCCTGAATTCTGGTAATGCAACAGAGAAAGGTGTCAAATGTTGAAGGAATATTTACAGAAAATATAAATTGAGAAAAACTGTTCACTATATTTCTGTCTTTGGTATTGGAAAAAGATGGACTTGGGTTTTATTTTAGCAGATGAACAACTCTGTCCAGGTGGCAGGGGGAGGAAGAGATAGTCCGGAAACTTCTGATCCAGCGGTCTCTGACCCTTTCCACCAGTGGTCCCACGCTAAGTGATACAAGCCTTTGTTGGAGAAGGCATTCTACGCTGGGTCTGGCTTTGGGAATGGACTTTGAGCCCAGATTGCCCACTGGAACCACTTTCCGATCTCTATGTACCTAAAAACGTCCAGACTCTTTACTCTCCCAGGGAGGGAACTCAGAAATGGTCTTATCAGGAGGTCAGTCACCCAGACACTTTCCATCTCTTCACTGAATCAGGAACCTTGACTAATGAGGCCTCCACTTCACTCCTGGCAGATCAGTGCAGCAAGGTGAGGGCAGCTCTCTCACCTGGCGTCAGTTCCTGACCTCTCTGATATCCCCCGGGAATGCCCACTACCCCCAAATGAGTGCACTTTGGTACCTTCTATCAAAGCCGGCCTGCCAGCCAGCCAGCCAGCCAACTCTTAGAAAGCAAACTATTATTAAACATTAACATATCCTTCAACACACGAACATTTTGAAACAAAATGAACCTGCCCATTTCTTAAAGGGCTATTAGAAGGAACACTGCAAATATCATTCATCTTGAATTTGTGGGGAAAGAAATGGCTCTGCTGAACCATAAAGATCAAAACCCTTAAGAACTAATGTACAGAATCACCACTGGAGAGGCCCCTTGGCGGGCAGCACACTGCACTTGGGAGGCACCGCAGGGAAGCTAAGGACATCCACTTACACGTTACACTAACTTCCAATGTACCGGTTCCCATATTTTCACGACGCCTTTGTCCTGCAAGGACAAAGCCAGCCTGCAAACAGAGCCAGGCACAAAAAGTAAACATGTTTCTAAACAATTAGCCCAACAGGAATTGGACAACCGTTTACGGGTCTCTGGACAGTGAGGGACACGCTGTTTGCCTTGCCAGACTGCGACAGAAAAATCAAGGCAAGTCACAGAGGGCAGCCACGCTGGGCACTGTAGCACCCATACTGGCCTCCTAAGCAACTCACAGACAATCCTGGCAATGGTTCTTAAAATTAGCAGCTCTCACGAAGAATCAGGAGTCTGATTACTCCACTTTTTTCTCTCCTGCTCCTCTTCCGGCTCCCTCTATCTCTAAGGAAGAGAGATCACTGCCACTAGGTATGTCAAAAAAATGTGTCTCCTGTCCCCAAGTTTCTTGCATGGATTAATAGCCCAGAACCAGCGCTGAGCCGCACGGGGGAAGTTACACTTCACACATCTGCCAAGTTTACCTTCAGGCCCCACCTGTGGCTGTGACACTCACCAATGGGCATCGCAATTGTAAATGTGAATTAGGGGGCTGACTGTAACTTTTTGTTGTTGTTGTCCTGTCCTTATTATTGGTATATTATGATGCAGACTACAATGGTTTTATAAAATGCGTTGGAATCTTAAACTCTCCTCCCCGCTTCGCTGCACTTAAAGACACGGGACTCCACAGCTGTTCCGGGGCCCCGCGGGCGCCGTCTCAGGGCCCAGGGTGGCCGGGCCAAGGCTCCCTCACCGTCTCAGGCCAGGGGGTGCCACAGTGACACCAGAGGGGGAGTTGCGGTCCGGAAGAGGCAGACTCAGCCCCCCCTCCCCCCGCTCCCCCTCCCCCAGCCAGCGATCACAGAGCGAAGGGACCGGGAGCCGGGAGCCAGGCCAGACCGGGCGCTTTTCTCTTCCTTTTATCAAACCCTTATCGGTGCCCCGTGGTGGGAACCGCCGTTTTCCACGAGAGGATACACGGTTTCCGGCTCCAATCTCTCAGTGGAAGTCAGAACAAGAGCAAATCAACACAAGCACGGAGCTCTTCGGGACCCCGGCTCAAGGCCAGGCACCCCCTCTCTTCGTGTCTGGGTCCCCCATCCCCTCACTTCCTCACGGACGCCCAGCAGCTGATCTCCAGACGCTCAGGCCATTCGGCCAGCTATGCATACGATTCCAGCCCCCCAGCCTAAGCCCTGCCAAGCCGCCGCCGCCGCCGCCGCCTCCGAGCGCGGGGCTGAAAGTCCCAGCGCGCTGGGGCGGCACCGGTGGGGATCGCAGAAGTGAGGGCCGGGCAGCGAGCCGCGCACGACCGCGGGAAGCGAAGCGGCGCCTACATCCGCGCGGACGCTCGGTGCACTCTCACCCTTGCGGGGAGAGGGCCAGGCGCGCAGCGGCCGGGAGAGGGCGGCAGGGCAGTGAGAGTTGGCCGGAGAGTTGCCTCTCACCCAGTGCCTAGAGGCTCTCGAGGGCAGGCAGCAGCAGGCAGCTCGAGGCTGCCCTTCTCTGTCCTCTTGCGGGAGAAACACCAGGATCTGGCGGGAGCGCCCGGTGTCGCCATCACCTCGCGCACACCAAGACCACTGCCCCCCGCGACGAAGCCGGTCCACTACCCACTCCCTCCCGCGGAGTGAAGGTGCGGGCCCATGAATGTGGTTTCTCCAAGCTCCAGTGGGATCTGGGGCCTCGGAATGGGGGCCCTTGGCTGTGTCCTGGCCCCTCCGCGCGGTAGCGTGTCAGCGCAGCGCTCCACCTCCGACCCCTTGCCAATTTGGGGCGCAGAGGACACAGCAACTCATCTGGAAGAACCCAAAGGGTCGGAGTGAATGCTGCACCGCTAACGAGAATTAAAGTCGAAAGTTGACCTGAGTTAAATCAACCAAAAAAACATTTCAACCCGCGGGCGCCGGAGTTTCAGGCGGGGGCGATTTTGGAAGACACCGCGGGAACACCTCCGACCTGCAGGGCCATCTCCCTCGGCCTCACGGCCTCTTGCACGCTCAGATCCCCGATTCCTTCGGGCCACAGAACTCTCCACTGTGAAGCCGCAGTACCGCGCCCCCAGACGGAGCACCTGGTTTCCTCACCCCCCCCCCCCGCCCCAAACCCTTCCGAATTCACCGTCGGACCTCAAAGACCTCTCTACACTCCTCCCCCAGCTGCTCTCGGCCGCGTCGGCCCTGCGAAGCCCGGCCATCCCCTCGGGTGAGCTTCCTCGCAGGCTCGGACGCCCGCTTACCTTTTCTTCTCCTTGTCAGCTGTCATCGTCGCTGTGGCCCTCTGAGACTCGGAGCACTGGGGCTCCCCAGCCGGTGGGGCTGCAGCCGCCGCCTTCGCTGTGGCCCTGGCCCACCCCCTGAGGATCCGGTCGATGTGAAAGGTGCTCGCAAGCCTGAGAGCCCAGCACAGTCAGGTGGAAGTTTGCGGGCGGCTGGCTAGGTACAGAGTAAAGGGGTGGAGAAAGGTGACAGGGAGGAACCTGCACGGGGAGGCGGGGTCTAGGACAGGAGTGGGAGGAGGCTGTCAAATGCCAAAAAGAGGGCAGCGAGAAAGGGACCGAAGTTCCTTTTCCCCTCAAAAAGTAGTCACTTTCTTGGGTGTTCAGAAAGAAAGAAATTAAGAAAGAAAGAGTAAAAAAAAGTGGCTCCAACGGCAACAGAAGACTCCGGGGCCGGGCAGCGCGGCGGCTGAGATGACCATACAGTCTCAGGACACTGCCGAGGATTGTACGGCCGGCTCAGCAGAGCTGGGCGGGAGCGCAGCAAACGCCGGCGCAGCGCGGCAGGCGGTTCCCGAATGTCTGGTTCTTGGGGCGGCCTGCCCACTTTAAAAACTCCGGCGGCCCACGCAGGGGAGCGCACGAGGAGCGCGCGCGCGCCCCGAGGCCCCGCCCGCCCCGCGCCGGAGCCCCAGGCAACCCACCGGTCCCGGCCAATAAAGAGGCGCCGCCGCATCCCCCGCCCGGACCGCGGCCCGCCCCCTGCCCCAGCGCCCGGTTCCGCTGCGGCCCGCCCGCCTTTCCAATTGCGGTAGTTGTTTATGAGGTTGGCAGGTAGCGAGATGGGACCCCGGGTCAAGCAGGCAGTTTATACGGGCTAAGCGACAGCCATACGTCCCCGTCTGGCAGTGCCCCTCTGTGCTGCTGTCCTGCCACCCCGCCGTGCCCTTGGGACCGGGGCCGGACCGCGAGCGCACAGGGTCCCGCGCGCGGACGCGTTTGGTAGAGCCGCTGCGCGGTCCCTGACCCCGTTGCGTAAACTCTAGGGCCCGCTGGGGATCATTCCAAGAGCTTCAGCGGCCGCGCTGCAAGCCAGGGCCGTGGGGCTCTTCCCCCAAACCGCCCCCGCCCCCACCCCCGGCAGAACGCCCTGCTTTGCCTTTTGGAAATAGAAGGAAACCGATCACCTGCTCCTGTCGGGTCTGGGGGAAACAGGGCAGTGGAATTGTGGTAGGGCTACTCCGGTTCTTTCCTTCCCTCAACCGGCAAGTCGGTTGGTTGCTTGCGCGGTTGGACTCAGAAGTATACCGGTTTTGACAGGGGTGCGGGAGAGTAGGGCCTTGGAACTGTTGGGTCTGCCACACCCTACTGCCAACACTTGGCCACTTGGCCAGTTCGGGATTGGACAAGTGAGCCTGGCTTCCCAGTGTTATCTTGGGATAAGAGTTGACACTGTGTCGGCCAATCACGAGATCTCAGACCTGCTCCGTGTGTCTCCGGGGTCTGATTGAAGCCCTAGGAACGTGAAGGCTGCAAATGTTAGGTGTGGGGAGATCAGAAGTCTAAGGGGCGAGTGGTGAGAGCTCAGGGATTTTTTCCAGCTGTGCTTTAACTGCTTCCTTCAATCCGCAACTGCGTCTCTGCCCTGTGCTCAGTATTCTCCCAAGAATCCCACCTCAGCCCTACCAACCAGTAGAGTCCGTGACCCAGCAGGGGTATCCCAGGAAGGGACAGGGAGGCGCTTCATCTTTGAAGCTCTGCCAGGGCCCACAGGCTTCACCGGTGTGAGTGGAAGAGGAGGGCCAGGGAACTGGTCATCCCTGGGGCCCGACCCTTTGCTGCACCTCCCCCCACTTAGCCTCACCACATTTTATATTACCACAGTCTGCAGGATGAACCTCCAGGACTTTATGCTAAGTGATGTAAGCCAGTCAGTAAAGGACAAAGACTGTAAGACTCCACTCATATGAAATATCTAAAGTGGTCTTTCATAGAAACAAAGTAGGAAGATGGTTACAGGACCTGGTTGGGGGGGGAGCTGGAGGAGGGGTGAGCAGGGAAAGGGGTGGGAATAAGTATTCAATGGGTATAGAGTTTCAGTTTCGCAAGATGAAAAAGTTCTAGAGATCTGTTGCACAACAGTGTGAGTATATTTAACTATTGAACTGCACACTTAAAATGGGTTAAGATCGGAAATTTGATGCTATGCATTTTTACCACAACACAAAAAACATCAAGAAAGAGTTTTACCCCAGCGGAATTTTGGCAGTATAGTTTTGTGTCACCACCAAAATACAAAATAAACGTGTATTTTTCCCTTGCATGTGGTAAGAGGGGCAGGGATAGTTTTCAGGAGCCTTTGGAAGGCACTGGAAAAGCAGAATTAGGGAGAAATGAAAACACCCTTGAGGAGTTGGAAACCCGGGCACATTTTCTCATTTTCCCAGAGCCAATGAGCACTGTACACACACTTTAAAATCAGACGCTGGGCCTAGCAGTCAAGGCATTTGAACAAGAATTGCAAATTCTCTAGGGAGCCACTTCTTGTGGCTGGTAGGTTTCAGCAACAGGGTGATTTCCTATTGGGCTTCCCCAGCCAGCCAATCCTAGTGGACACATACTTATCTCAATGAGGAATTCAACTTGGTTAGACACAGTTCGTTCTCCCACAATCACCAGTGAGCTTACTCATCTCACTTGGGACTGTAGTGGGGGAAGAAACGGGCTCTCTGGTGGCTTCCAGGTGCCCAGAGCCACTCACTGCCGGAGCAAGGAGAAACCACTGAGTCCTGGACTGTCACAAAACAACACCTCCAACCCACAGAGGACACTTCAGCAGAGTTCGAGCTTATGGAATTAGCTTTTTAGATGTTAAAAAAAGAAGAAGAAGAAAGGTGAAAGGTCACTGGAGAACAAATCAACAATAATAACTCCTTCTCCATGGCCAGCCTGCCCATCTTTCTAATTGGAGTTTTGTCTTCTAAGTGAAAGGTCTCCAAGATAATATAAACAGTTGGACAGATTTTTGTGGAAATCCCATCGCATAACTTTGAAGTCTGGGATTTTGGCAGTGTCTGGAGAGTCACCAAAAGCCTGTATAATTCCCAGAAGCACTGGACCCAGCCTTGCTTAGTTAGAGCAGAGCCGAGGAGCCCTTCCAGGATTCAGTTCAACAAACTTTGCAGGAAGGAGTTGGGAGTATAAACCAGACAAAGGCTTGCAGCTGGAGTGTCCCATTTTACTTTTTAAAGCCCATAGAGAACTAAAGGAGAACCACTTTAAAAGGTGATAGTGGGGACAGCTGAATCCCAGGACCTGAGCGTCTCTCGAGACATCGATGTTCTGGCCACAGAGGGCAGCAGAGGGCACCGCTAAGCAAAGCTGCCAGGCTGCTTAAAATGGGAACGAACCGCCAGTCTCCTAGCAAGTCCCTCTCCATCTGCCTCCCAACTCTGCACTGGGCTGCTGGGCGACAAAGGCTGTGGCAGCAGGGAAACACCCACTTGTTTTAACAAAAGACAAAACCAAGTCTCTAGCTTCCTCTCTCCCCTGGAGAGCACACCCTTAGGAGGATGGGACAGAGATAAGGAGTTAGTTTATAAACCTGGTGGAAAGCAGGCCTCGATCCCACAAGGGATCCCACCAGGGATCTTGTGGGCAAGTGGAGGAAAGAGGGCCCCAGGAATCCCATTAACGTCCAGGATGTGGTTGGAAATCGGGCTGGAACAGGTGACACCTAACAGCAGAAGAGATCTTGGGAGGCTGGGCTCTCTCTTCAGTGTTTTAGCCCCTCCTGCTTCAATGACTGTCAGTGCATTGAAGCAGGAGGGGCTCCTGGGGTGAAAGAGAGGGCCCTCACAGTGTCATGCAAGTCCTTGTACTAGTCCTGGTCCTACCACATGTGGTATCTCCAGGATTCCTATTTGGCCCTGGTCTAGCCATTTAGTTGCTTTTGGCCTGGAGAGAGCAGACAGGGTAGGGAGCAGAGGTGGAGGGAAGGACAATCCTCTGTAGCTGGAGCACTTTTGCTGAGTTACCCCTCCCCTTGCATGCTACTCCCTCTCAACAAAACCAACTCTTACACTGTGACCTCCCAAAATTTATTCTCACACTCCCTGTCACCGAACTCCAGGACAGGAGACCATACCCTCTGGGGTTGGCTTCAGGGTAAAGCTGTGGAATATTTCACAGAGTCGTATGCTGTGACTACCATTAAATGCTGTGACTTTTGATGTCAAAAATCCAGAATCTGTCATCTTTCAAAAAGGGATCCGTGATTTTTTTTCGTTGTTGAAAAAAGGGTCAAGCTGGTTTTTTTTTTTTTCCCTACTGATAGGGTCCAGTTTTAAAGAACCACAGCTCTTCCTACCCCTTGAATCTGGATTATCAATAACATAGAGACTAATGTCTTTCATTTCCAGGTCTAGGCATGAGATTTTGGCCCATGAAAGGTCTCGTATGTTTATCATTCTATCATTCAGCTAATAGTGAAGGAGTCATTGGTCCCTGACCACCATGCTGTGCTGCTTCAAGGGGTTAGAAGGCATCCACCTGCCAGAAAAGAGAGCCCATGGCCCATTCCCTCCAGGAGGAGACAGCCCAGCTGTGTACACTGCTTTTCCCAGATAATGACAGACACACATACCTTTTAAGGCTTCTGAAATCAATAAGCATCTTTTAATGTAATGATTCCAAGATTAGTTTTTAAATTCATATATACAATTTACATATGCTCAGTTTTTAAAAAAATATAAAAATTGAGAGCAAAACCATGTACTCTAAACAATAGGTGTTGTAAGAATTTGGTGGTGGCAGGTAGAAAAGTGGAATGAGTGAGTGAAAAAGCAGAAAAAGCTAGAGTCCCAGCCATGGGCACTGCCAGGACCCAGAAAACCCTCCCCTAGACTGGCCCGTCGGCCAGGCGGGTGGGTAACACCACTGAGGCATTAGAATACCTCTCATGTGAGAGGGATGGCCAGTAGGAAGGACATACCAACCCCACCTTAGAGAGAAAAAGGCACAAACAGACATTTAGGTGCTACTGTCGCTAAAAATGATGGCATTGGACCTGGAGCCTAGACAACAAGAATGACACAGAGTGGGGGGTCAAGGATACCCTCCCCACTCCTGTAGTGGGGCTTTGGCCTGTACCAAGTGTGAAAACAGGGCTTTTCCCAGCTCAGTTTCAACAGAGGTCCCAAGACATTAGGCTGCCCTTGGGGAAGGGGGAGACCTTTGACAACAGCACTTGGGGACCATGTCCTGCATTCCAGGAGGATGATGTGGGCAGCACGGCAAGGCCTTGCACAGCACACGGTGTCTGATAGACAGATGGGGTGCCACAGGGGAGTGCCCATCTAGGGTTTTTAAAGGGATCCTGTCCATGTAAGCTTCTCCAAGTAGACCTCAGCAGAAGGCAGCGGCAGTGCTGTGGGAGGTAGAAGCTGAGGGAAGACCACACGTGGCCAGTGGAAGGGGGTCCTTCTGGAGCCACAGGGATGTGGCTGAAGGGGCCACAAGGAAACATTCAAAGAATGTTGAATAACACCGAAGAGAATAACCACCGCCACGGCCAGGGAAAACCAAAGACAAGTGACACCCATATTAGGAAGAAAAAAA